CACCTAAGACCACCTGCAAGGCAGAATAGCAGCCACCTGTCTCTCTCACACACAGAGAGCAGGATACCAGTTTCCCACAAACCAGAGGAAAGGCAGGCAGGTGTGTATTTTTTTTGGGGGGGGGGTGTTGTGTGTGTTCTGGGGTCACCCGTCGGCTCCGACCCCCAAGGGATCCGGCAGGCAGGCCGCCACGCACAGCGCAAGAAAGCTCCCCACACATTTTGCACACCATAGATTTATAAATATATCTCCATTTACAAGAATCTAATATTGCACGTTAGTCAGTCTGAAAGCGGCGCTAGGGGGAAAGGGCTGGGGGGCTGGGGGGAGTGCAAGGCAAGATCACAGGGAGGGGACAGTGGGGGGGGGGTCCGCCAAGCCCCGCAAGGTCCCTTCTGCAGGGGCCAGGGAGGTCGCGACGACCTTGGTGCCTTCCGCCATCAGTCATCACATCACCGGCCTCCATCGCCACGTCAACCGTTGCCAGGCGCCGCCCCGTGCGTCAGCCTCGTTGCTAGGCTCCCTCAGCCGCTGCCATGTCAACCGTTGCAAGGGGGGCTCCTCCGTCACCATGTCAGCTGTTGCTAAGCGCCTGGCTGGGGGGGGGGAGGAAGGGGCGGGGGGGCTGCACAAGTAAAAGGGGCTATTGCTGTGCGACTATCACTGCCCCCCACCCGAAAACACACACTAAAGTCTGGGAGGAGCCAGTGGCTCTCTGGTGGTCCCCCCGCCCCAGGACCTCATATGGGCTTCCCTTAAAAGTGTCTGTTGCACCACAACGTCCAGGAGAACTAATTCCAGTGTACTGGAAGAAGCAAAGATCCCCAGTGTTGAAGCAATGATTCTTCAACATCAACTCTGTTGGGCTGGTCATGTTGTGTGGATGCCTGATGATCGTCTTCCAATGCAACTAGTCTATTCAGAACTTTAAAATGGAAAGCGTAGTGCTGGTGGTCAACAAAAGAGGTTTAAAGCCTCTCTCAGGGCAAACCCCCCAAAAAGTAGTATGAACACTGACAACTGGGAAACACTGGCCTGCAAGTGCCCCAACTGGAGAACAGCCTAGACCAAAGGTGTCCTGGGCTTTGAAGACACTCAAACTCAGGACACAAGGGAGAAATGAGCTAAGAGGAAGGCACACTTGGCAAATCCACAGCGTGATCAACTCTTGCCCAGAAACCCATGTCCCCACTGTGGAAGGATGTGTGGATCCAGAACTGGCCTCCACAGCCACTTACGGACTCCCTGTTAAAACCGTAGTCACTTGACTACAAGTGATCGCCAAATAAGCCGTCATGGACCTAGAGATGGAGCTTGCAAAGATGGGATCCATAACAGGTGAAATCTCAGCATCCAAACCTTGCTGCTCATCAGCAGCAGAGCCAAGGGCTTTCATAATAGGCCCAGTTGAATATGTTTGAAAATAACAATTAGGTCCAAAGTACCTGTGTATCTGAAGAAGTGTGCATGAACACGAAAGCTTATACCAAGAACAAACTTAGTTGGTCTCTAAGGTGCTACTGGACAATTTATCTGACCCCGCGCCTTAGGTTGCCTTTGTTGTTTAGTGGTTTAGTCGTGTTCGCCTCTTCGTGACCCCCTGGACCAGAGCACACCAGGCCCTCCTGTCTTCCGCTGCCTCCCGCAGTTTGGTCAAACTCATGCTGGTAGCTTTGAGAACACTGTCCCACCATCTCGTCCTCTGTCGTCCCCTTCTCCTTGGGCCCTCCATCTTTCCCAACATCAGGGTCTTTTCCAGGGAGTCTTCTCTTCTCATGAGGTGGCCAAAGTCTTGGAGCCTCAGCTTCAGGATCTGTCCTTCCAGTGAGCTCTCAGGGCTGATTTCCTTCAGAATGGATCAGTTTGATCTTCTTGCAGTCCACGGGACTCTCAAGAGTCTCCTCCAGCACCATAATTCAAAGCATCCATTCTTCGGCGATCAGCCTTCTTGATGGTCCAGCTCTCACTTCCATACATCACTACTGGGAAAACCATAGCTTTAACTATACGACCTTTGTCAGCAAGGTGATGTCTCTGCTTTTTTGGTTGCCTACCCCTGTCCTATTCCATCATCATCATCATCATCATCATCAGTGTACTCTTCCCATCTAACTGGGTTCCCCCAGCCACTCTGGGCGGCTTCCAACATATTTAAAAACATCTAATGTCTTAAAACTTCCCTATACAGAGCTTTAAAGGTGTCTTCTAAAGCATGATGGTTAAAAAGAAATACAATATGACAATCCAAGCAGTATGATGACCAAAGCTTTTGGGGGGGAAATGGGGTGCCATTTGTGCTTCAGCCATTCTCTCCACTCTTCCCCCCCCACCCCACCCCTTTCTTTGCTAGGTTCTTCAGTCTGCTAAGATTTCAGGACAAAGAAACACACAAATGAGGAGGGGTTTACCCCCTGACCTTCCATGAGAGCTGTGTATTTTCACTTACATTCAAGAACTGTGTTTAGAGGTACCCTGGGCTCAGGTACAAACTCTCTACAAATTGTGAGCCGAGTCCCTAAGGTAGTTGGACGGCGCGCTGTCTGCCTCTTTCCAGCAACTCTGGCAGCCAAACTGGATTGCTCCGCTTTCCTTTGGACCACATCAGTGAGGCCAAGAGGGGGGTCTTGTCATCTGGGCAGGCCAGGACCTCCAGGCACACAGCCAGGCTTGCACCCCAGAGATGCCACTTTGATGCTGCCAATGCCTTGGTTTGGTTTCACTCCTGGAGGGACACGTCATCGTCTCTGGAGACATACGCATGCCCACAACCGCTCAAAAGCGTCAGGACATTAAGAAGGGCTTGCAGAAGCAGGCCCAGGGCCCACCTAGGCCAGCCTTCCGTTCTCGCAGTGGCCTCTCATACCATAACAACAATACCATAGTCTCTAATTTCTTTTCCTGGGCCAACCAGATGCCCATTATGGGTAACTCACGAGCAGGATCGGTGCCCAAGAGCAAGTCTCCCCTCCTGTGGCCGCCAGAGCTGAACACAATATTCCAAAGGCGGTTGCAAGATATACTGTCCTGTATCTTCCAAAGACGTTTCAAACGAAACCGCAAATCTTAAGCAGAGAAAATGGTGGCAAATGTGCATACTTTTTGTAATGCGTAGATATGGAGCGTCTATCTTCAGGCTGTTGTATTTCTTTTATGTTAACTGTCCCATGTGCAAGGATGCGTTTGCGGAAAATGCAGTGTATAAATAAATATGTCTTATTATAAAGAGCTCAATTGACAGAGAAGGCGACTCTTGAATTCTGGGTCGGGGGTTCGAGTTCCACGTTGGGCGAAAGATTCCTGCATTGCAGAGGGTTGGGCTAGATTACCCTGGGGATCCCTTTCCAGTTCTATGATTCTGTGAATGTGCGTGTGAGAGAGAGTGAAAATTCCCTTCTGAAGAACCTGCTAATCGTTATTTCTAATGGGGCAGAACAGCCAAGCAAAGGCGTTTAGTAGGGGCAGGTGGTTAGAGGACGGTCTCCCACCAGGAGTGACTGGCTAGCTGATAATCATCATCATCATCATCTAAGCCCACCTGCAAGGCAGAATAGAAGCCCCCCCTCCACCGTGTCTCTACTCAAAATTTGGCATCACCTCCAGACATGTCACAGACAGAGAGCAGAATACCAGTTTCCCACAAACCAGAAGAAAGGCAGGCAGATTTTGGGGGGGGGGGTGTTGTGTGTGTTCTGGGGTCACCCGTCAGCTCCGACCCCCAAGGGATCCGGCAGGCAGGCCGCCACGCGCAGCGCAAGAAAGCTCCCCACACATTTTGCACACCATAGATTTATAAATATATCTCCATTTACAAGAATCTAATATTGCACGTTAGTCAGTCTGAAAGCGGCGCTAGGGGGAAAGGGCTGGGGGGCTGGGGGGAGTGCAAGGCAAGATCACGGGGAGGGGGCAGTGGGGGGGGGTCCGCCAAGCCCTGCAAGTCCCTTCTGCAGGGGCCGGGGAGGTCGCGGTGACCTTGGTGCCTTCTGCCATCAGTCATCACATCACCGGCCTCCATCGCCACGTCAACCGTTGCCAGGCGCCGCCCCGTGCGTCAGCCTCGTTGCTAGGCTCTCTCAGCCGCTGCCATGTCAACCGTTGCAAGGGGGGGCTCCTCCGTCACCATGTCAGCTGTTGCTAAGCGCCTGGCTGGGGGGGGGAGGAAGGGGGCGGAGGGGGGCTGCACAAGTGAAAGGGGCTATTGCTGTGCGACTATCGCTGCCCCCCACCCGAAAACACACACTAAAGTCTGGGAGGAGCCAGTGGCTCTCTGGTGGTCCCCCCGCCCCAGGACCTCATATGGGCTTCCCTTAAAAGTGTATGTTGCACCACAACGTCCAGGAGAACCCCAGCCTCCATTTTTAAAAAAGCCAGGTTTCTGGCCCTCGTGGACCTAGAGATAAGCTTGCAGTGATGAGATCTGTTCCAGGTGAAATCTCTGCGGCTCATGATCATCAGAGCCGAGGGCTGCAAAGAGCAGATGGAATCTAGGCCAAATGCCTCTTGGTTTCCCCACAGCGCTAAGACCTGGATTGTTTGATTATTTATCTCAAAACAGAGGCAGCCGCAGAGGCCCCCTGCTCTCTCGCCCACCCAGGGGTGCCCTCTGCTCAGGGTGGGGGGTGGGCAAGGCTTTGCCAAGGACCAGCCAGCTGCTCCGGCGAGAACCTCCTCCAAGCCTGCCACCCCCAGTTTCTCTGCTGCTGCCCCATCCAGCTCCCTGGACGGAACCCCCCACATTGCTAACTGCTGCCCAGGGAAGGAAGGGAGAACTGGGGCTTCATCCTCTACGTGGAGGGGGGGGGCACTGGGTTTGGGTCAGGGTGACCAAGTATTTCCAGGATAAAATGTTAAAAGGCTCAGAAAGTGCTGCGTTGCAGGGGGGTGGGGGAGGGAGGGAGGGAGGGAGGGGAGAGGGAGGGGAGGAGGGGGCCCCGCCGCTCCTCCCTCTCCCCCCCACCCCTGAGCCCCCCGCCGCTGCCCCCTTGGCCTCCCCCAACCCCTCAGATGTCGGACTCCAGCAGGTACTGTTCGGTGTAGTCCTTGGCCAGCTCGAGGCCCAGGGCCGATTGGCAGAAGGTGGCCATGTCTAACCACAGGGCCGGCTCCAGGAAGAGCTGACACATGACCTTCCCCTGCTGGGCGGCCGGCACCTGGAGGCGCAGGTGGTGTAGCAGCTGGCTCTTGACGTGCGCCAGGTCGCGCCCGAAGGCGTCGATGTTGAGGTAGAACCAGTCCTCTCCCAGCGGGATGGGGAAGGGCCGGGTGCTGAGGGTGGCCACGGTGGGGCGGGCCTTCTGGTCGACCACCCAGCAGAGGTCCTTCTTCATCAGCAGGCCCAGGTTGCTGGCGGTGGCCTTGAAGGGTTGCCAGTCTTGGATGATGGTCTGGTTGGGCAGAACCTCCCTCTGGAAGGACTCCTGCAGGATCACTTCGGGGACCTCGCTCTCCAGGAGGAGCTCGGACGGCTCTGGGCAGAAGCCGCCCTCAGCCAGCGCCAGCACCACAGCGTCAAGGCGGGAGAGGAGCTCTTGGGCATCGAAGCGCACCAGCAGGATCCCCTGGGGAGAGGAAGGAAGAGGAAGGGGAGGAGGAGGAGGAGGAGAATTCAGAGCAGGAGAAGGAGAAGAAGTTCCACCACGTTGTGATGGAGGAGAAGGCAGTCTCCTCACCTGGAAAGGTCCTGAGATGGAATCAGAGAGTTCTTTCTCGGGATCTGACCACAAGCAACCCAGGACCATAGGCCAACTGAAGGCAGCTCTACCTGCAGAGACAGAGACAGCCCCACCCCACAGCTCTCTCCTTGCAGTCCCCCCACCCCACCCACTTGGGGCCTGACCTCAGTCCTGAAACACGCATGGGAAGAGGGGGCACGGCTGGTTTGCCCAAACCGGGTTCTTAAGCTGAGAGGCTGCCACAACAAAGGGCTCTCGCGATGGAAGGCAAGATGTGCCAAATTTTGGCACCACTGAAATTTGAAAGCCCAGAGTCCCCCACTTGGGATGGGGGGCAGCCGGCAGCTGCACCCCAGAACCTATTTGACACAGGTTCAAAGACCCAGAAGGCTGCCTCAGCCTCTTCAGAAAGCACCACTCCTCGCTCCACTCTGGGACGGGCCCCTGGAGTCATAGAACTGCAGGATAGCTGTGTGGGTTAGAGCCTGGTGCCAATAATGCCCAGGCTGTGGGTTCAATCCCCATATTGGCCAGCTGCACATTTCTGCATTGCAGGGGGTTAGACTAGATGATCCTGGGGTTCCCTTCCTGTGTGGTATTGAAATACTTGATTGTCACTTTTACAACTTGTATACAGTGAGATTACATAAGCACCCCCACACTCAGCTCTCTTAGTCTTAATTCCCCTCGTTTACTGACACCCACCCACCAAACCCAAAAGTCAGTTGCCCTGTTGTTCTCTTTTCATTCAGCAGCCTAACAGCCCACGGATAGAAGCTGTTCTTTACCCTGTTGGCGCAGCTAATCCTGCTTCTGTATCTTCTGCCCGAGGGCAGGAGATCATTAAAGTGCCGGCCAGGGTGTGAATCGTCCCTGAGGGTTTTCCTCACTCTCCTGAGGCAACGTTCTTCCGCGATGTCAACCAGCGGATTCACAGGACAGCCCATAATATATTGTGCTGTATTCACCACCCTCTGTAGGCACTTCCTATTAGTTGATGTCAAACCAGCACACCACACCTTGATGCAGTAGGAAAGGACACAATGCAATGCAGTCAAACCAGTGATTCAGGTTTGCTAGATAGGCACATGGTGGACGCTGAAGCTCACAGAGTTTTCCTGTAGGTTTGGTAGAGAGGACTCTGTGAGGGACACCCCCTCTGTGCCCTGACAGGGTGGGGGGCAAAGCCAGGTATCTTCTCCCACCTGCCTGGGCATATCCTCTTTCTTCTCTCTTCCCAACAAGTCAACAACTTGAGAACATCTGCATGTCTGAGCTCCAGAGCTCAGACATCGCTTTAAGCTGGACTGAAGGATGTCTTGGAAACTGAATTAGCATTTTAAGCCGGCCTGAACAAAGCTGCTGTATCATTTACTCTTCAACAAGAGTACAGTCGTACCTTGCTTCTTGAACGGAATCCATTCGAACATCTGGAAAATGTTCGAAAACCAAGGTATGGCTTCCATTTTTTTGCAGGAGCTTCTTGCACTAAATTGGAAGCCATGGAAGACGCATCGTACATTTGGCTTCCAAGAAAAGTTTGGAAACTGGAATACTCACTTCCAGGTTTGCGGCGTTCAGGAGCCAAAACAGATGAGTACCAAGGCGTTTAAGAACCAAGGTACGACTGTAAATGCTCTTTTTACAAGATTGTTTGTGTGCAATATTATTTTAAGGGGAGAAAAGGGGCAAATACCAAGAAAAACCAGTCCGCCTTAAAGCAATCCAGGATCGCTTAAACCGAAAGCCTAAAACATGGGTAGGCAACCTAAGGCCCAGGGGCTGGATCAGGGCCCAATCGCCTTCTAAATCTGGCCTGCGGGTGGTCCAGGAATCTGCGCATTTTTACATGAGTAGAAGGTGTCCTTTTATTTAAAATGCATCTCTGGGTTATTTGTGGGGCATAGGAATTCATCCATCCCCCCTAAAAAAATATAGTCCGGCCCCCCACAAGGTCTGAGGGACAGTGGACCAGCCCCCTGCCAAAAAGGTTTTCTGACCCCTGGCTTAAAACTTGCCTCTCTAAGCTGCAAAGGGATGCTCTCTGCTGAACTCACAAGGAAGGAAAGATAATCTCTAACGCGCTCTCAGCATCTATTCACATCCCTACAATCACAACTTTACAATTCTGTGATCTCTTAGTACAGTGGTACCAGTGGAACAAATGTACTTTGTTCCGGAGGTCTGTACTTAACCTGAAACTGTTCTTAACCTGAAGCACCACTTTAGCTAATGGGGCCTCCTGCTGCCGCCATGCCGCTGGAGCACGATTTCTGTTCTCATCCTGAAGCAAAGTTCTTAACCTGAAGCACTATTTCTGGGTCAGCAGAGTCTGTAACCTGAAGCATCTGTAACCTTAAGCGTCTGTAACCCGAGGTAACACTGCATTGGGTCACCCAGTCCAAGCCCTGGGAGCTGCCCTGCCAGCCAGGCTTGATCCCCAGTGACTCTGTGCATGCGCAGAGTTCCTCCCTCCCTCCCTGTGCTCTGTCCCGGGGACGGCGTACCTCTGTCCACGCGGCTCCCTCACCTGCTTGGCAATGACACGGTACTTCTTGAAGTCTTTGGGTCCCAGCTTGTCGTCCCGGGTCAAGCGCGACACCTTGACCTCGGGGTGCTTCTCCTTGACCATCTCTGAGCAGAAGCGCTGGAGGACTCCGGCCACCCCTTTCCCTCGCTCCCAGGGGGCCACCCGGAGACCCTCCACCAGAGCCGTCTCCCCGGCGTCAATGATGTAGACCGACTGGAGCCCAATCTGGTTGTTGGGTTGGGGGGAGGAAATGGGAGGGATGGGGAGGGGGAGATATACGGTGGGGGGGAGGAGGAGGGGGAAGGGGAGAGAGCAGAGAGTTTAACCCTTAGTGCGCTGCACCAAGTCACCTACAATCTTGAAAAAATCTGTAATTGGAAAAAAATGGTGGCGTTAATTAAACAAAGTTAGGTGAGGGAGGAGGGCAGGTGGGGTTGGGCTAGAGGGGGGTTGGGCAAGGAGGGAGGCAGAGAGAGAGGTCTGGGGTGGGGGGAGACCGCTGTTCAAATGCCAAGCGTTGGCACACATTTTTAAGCAATTACATGAAAAGAGAACAACAACAAAAATATACAGGCATATAGAGGGGTTTATATATAGAGATATATATTCATATATAGGGAAGATCACAGAGTAAGCTGATCATACTAGTACCATTGGACGGGGCCCTTTACGCTACGGGGGTCTCAAGAGCAGAGACACAGAAAGAGGGAGACATTTATTTTGGAAACTTGGGTCCTGAGGCCGAACTGTAAGGATTTAGGATCCGCGCCGCAGCAGCCCCTCCACGCTTCCTCCGAGGGAGCCCCGCCACCTTCCTGGACGGGGGGCCTGATCCCCCACACACCTACGTGAATAAAATCCAGCGAAAATCATTCGGTTTTTATCCATTGCTTTTTTTTCTTTTAAAAAAAAATTATTTAAAAAAATAATAGAGAGAGAGAGAGAGAAAGAGAGAGAGAAAGAGATAGGGAGGCAGAGAGAGAGAGAGAAAGGAAAAGTCCAGAATGAAGCTGGAAACAGAATCCCATTAAATCATCAGTAGACGGGAGAGAGAGAAAGAGAGAGAGAGAGAAAGAGGGTGAGGAACGCCCAGGCACCGGAACTGGAAGAATTGCAGTTGGGAGGCGTTCCCCAAGGTCATCTAGCCCAGCCCAGGAGTCACCGTTAAGCGGGCCTGTGGGTTTGGGCTGAGGGAGGGGCGATGGAAGGCGTGCCAACCTCTTTCCATCCGCAGGTGACCCCAGCAAGCGAGGGCTTTAATGCCCAACCCTTGCTTTGGAGGGATACAGCCTCCTCAGGACCTAATAATAATAATAATAATAATAATAATAATAATAATTGGACCATCTAACGGCCCACAGAGAGAAAGGCTATAAGCCTGCAGCTCTCCCCCAAACAGTCCAGACTAAGATTTCGTGCAGGATGACCTGTAGGTGTTTGAGATTTGCAGATTTTGGGAAACATCCCATAATTTGGAGGGGGTGTGCTCCCCCACACACATTGCCCTTACCAAATGCAATTAAGGCTAGGGGGCTCCAATCGCATCCATCCTGTAGCATTTAGGCTCCCGCTTAAATTGGCAGAATAGGCTGGCGGCAGATTTTGAATGGAGTTTGGCTCCCTTTCTCAGCCGCTTCCCCCCCCTTTCCTGGAAACCCCCCCCCCGGACGAGGAGGGGGGGAGTGTGAAAGCCACGTCCAGTTGCGGTGCCGGCGTTACACACGCGTGTGCGACAGACTTACCCATAAGCTCCAGGCTCCCCCAATTTCCCCACCCCAAACCCAACGTGTGAGAAGAGTGCGATCTGGGGGGTGGGCCACAAAGGACCCCTTTTCTCTGCCCCCCCTGAAGCTGGCACCAGGGACACAGAAGTGGGAGGGGGCGCCAGGAGGTCTCGGGCTGCTCAGGACCCTGCTATGGAGCAAAAGGCACGGAAGATCGCGGGAGCAAGCGCTTCCTCGGAAGAGATGCCTGGATCGGGGCCGTGGAAATGCAGTTTGCCTCCCCCAAGCGTAAGGAGGCCAGGAGACCCCTGAGGAAGCTGGATCAGGCCAGTGGGGGCCCAACTAGTCCAGCATCCGGGGGCCAAACAGGTGCCCCAAAAGGAAACCCACAATCAGGATTCGAACCCAAGTTCCGAATGCCCTCTTGCAGATTCCAGCAGCTGGGATCCAGATGCCTAGGCATGAATTTCTCCAGTCCTCTTTTAAAGCCATCCGAGTTGGCAGCCATCGTTTATCTGTGTCCTGTATGAAAAGCAGCTTCCTTCTCTCTGCCCTGAATCGCCAGCACCAGATCCCCTGCGTGATCACGAGTTCCTGCGTTAGGAGAGAGGGAGGAAAGCCTTTTTCGCTCCCCTTTCTCCTCGCTCTGCATAATTTCACCTGCTCTCTAAAGTCCCAAACGCAGCAACCTTCCCTGTACAGGGGAGTCGCTCATCTTCCTCGATCGCTTTGGCTGCTCTCTTCTTTCTCCAACTCTGCGATATCCATTTTGGGGTGAGGCATCCAGAGCGGCACATCCTATTATTTCAAATGTGGTTGCGCAGTGGCTCTTTTCCTATTGATCCCTAGCCTTCCAGAGATACTATATCATTTGAATCACCTCCATGGTGGTTTTGTGGTTATAGATCACCTTTTCCCTTTTTTTCCTTTGCAGAATCATAGAGAGGGACCCCTAAAGGTCATCCAGCCCAACCCTGGAGACGCAGGAATCACAACTGAAGCACCTGGCCTCTCCTTAAAAACCTGCAATGAATCGTGGGAACTGTAGAATTGGAAGGGACCCCCAAAGGTCATCTTGCTCAACCCTCCCTGCAAGGAGCCGCAGCTAAATTTCATTTGCAGGCTCTGAGGGGTTTTGCTTCTGCTTACTGCCGTTCCTATTTCCCATGCAGGAACCCAACAACAGTAAGGCTAGAACCATAAGAGTTGCAAGGGACCCCATGTGGTCATCCAGCCCAACCCGCTGCAATGCAAGGATCCTGTCAGGCAGCGACTTAGTCCGAGTTGCTCCATAGCAGCACCCACCAAGACGACCCCCCCCACCCATTTCAGCCCCCCAGGTGGCAGAGGTCCTCTCCCCCCAGCCTCCCAGGGACCACCGTGGGGGCCCGGGGAGGGGGGAGAGGATGCATCTGGCCCGCCCGGCCCCCCCCACCGCTCTCACCACAGCTCCGTTCTTCTTGGCCAGCACGACGGTGCGGTTGGGCTCCCGGATCCAGGCATGGTAGCGGCTGGGGAGGTAGTCCAGCCCCCCGTAGATGCCCTTCGACATGGCCAGGATCTCCTCAAACTCCTTCTCGGTGGCCACCACAAACTCCAGCTGCGAGTCGGCACTGGGTCTCTCCAGCTTCATGTCTACACGCGAGGCTACAGACTTGTGCGGCTGCAGGGAGATAAACCTCCATGAAAACCACCCTGGGGGGGGTCTCTGCGCTGGCCGGGGGTCCCCAAGCGCCAGGGGCCTCTGAAAACAAGCCGGTTAGACAGACACAGAAGGGCAAGGAAGGGGGCAGCACTCCAGGCGCTTCGCTGCCTGGGGAGGGAGGGGGAGACGTGGCCCCCGCCCACCGAAACCCACAGGTCCCAAATCCAAAAGGGACCGGCCTGGCAGTGGGGCATTTAGGTGCGGTCCCTGCCCTGGAGGGGGTTGGGATAGATGACCCTCGGGTCCCTTCCACCTCCACAGTTCTGTGATCCTTGCCGGATCAGGCGAACGGCCCATCTAGAATTGGAAGATTCGGAAGGGACCCCGATGGTCGTCTAGTGCAATTCCTGTGAGGCAGGAACTTTCCAGCCTCCTGTTCTCTTGGGTGCCTGTAATGGGATCCGAGTGCGAGAGCTGAGCTCGCCCCTCTCCAGAGACTGGCATTTGCTGCCTCTGATCGGGGAGACAGACCGTTGAGGCCAGGAGCCCATGATGGGCTTCTTCTCCTCCTCCGTGAATTTGTCCGATCCTCTTTCCAAGTTGGTGGCTCTTGTGGGAGGGAGTTCCACAGTCTAATTAGTGCTGCGTGAGGAATCTTCCTGGTATCCGTTCTGAATCTCCCCCCTTGGGAGATCAAGAAGAGGGGAATGTGGGGCAGGCCATGTTTAGCACTGCACACATCCCAGGCTCTGGGCTTCTGCCCACCACTGCCTGGGGTCAGTTGGTCTGTCTGTCTCTCACACACACAGACACACAGACACACTGCAAAAATATTTATTGTTCACAGGGTTTTTGGAGGTGATGGGGAGGGTTAGCTTCTAGAGTATGATTCCTCCCCACCCACCCAAAAAAAATCTTGTTTACAGTTCCTCTCTATGGCTCTGACGCGTTTCCCCCCCTCGACAGAGCCACACCTTAAGATGCCATTCCGGACCGGAATGTTTTTTAGGGTGCATACAAAATACAAACAAGCAGACGTCTTATTATGGGCTGCCTTTGTTCCTTAAGGCCGGTGTGTCAAAGCCAAACCCTTCGCTGTTGCCGCTTCATCCAAATCGTGTTTGCAGGAAAAACAAACGTTTCAAGGCAAAAGAAAAAAGTAAAAGGAAAGGGGGGGAAGTGTGTTTTTCCGAAAGGTGAGGTCAGCAAAGGTAAGGTCTCTTCACGGAGGTATAATGTTCATCCATTGACACCCACCCACTCCAGAAACTGGGATTACTGGGGAAACTAAGATGGGACATCACATGTTTCTGATTTTCCAACTCTGTGCAGAATAACGAGACTCAAACCGTGTGAACAGGACTCAGCTTGGATATGGAGATGTGCTCTTCCTGGTCCTTCTCACCCTCCCCACAAACTCTCCCTGCCAATTGTCCCGTCAGGTGAAAAATCCAGGTAACCCTGGAAGCTCCACCAGGGCAACAAGGTCCATTTTACCTGAAGTGTCACAACAGAAAACCCTCCCCAAATCAGGTGTGCTGAGCCTGTGTCCCACATGGAGCCCCCCCCCATAACCTGGGGGCCACTCTCCTGATCTAACCAGTGGAGAACTAGCCTCTCTGTGTTCCTGCAAGCTTCCCACCCCCAGGGAGAGGCGGGGAAGGGTACCCGGGGGCACAACCTGCTGGATCAGGCCCAAAGCGGCCGCATCCTGCCCTCACAGGGGACAACTCGGTGCCTCAACTGGAAAGCCCCCAAGCCAGGACCCGAGTGCAAGAGCCGCACTCTCCGCCCCTCCCAAGGTGGGTTTCAGCCACTGGTATTCAGAATCATTTGCCGCCTCCGACTGTGGAGAGAGGAAACAGACCTTTCCTCCTCTGTAAATTTGCTTCCTCCTCTTTCGCAGCCATCCAAGTTGGTGGTGCCCATTGCCTCTTGTGGCAGGGAGTTCCGCAGTTGCATGGAGAAGGGCTTGCTTTTCTCTGTCCTGAATCATCCAACATTGGACATCCACAATAATAATAATAAATTATTATTTATACCCCGCCCATCTGGCTGGGTTTCCCAGGCCACTCTGGGCGGCTTCCAACAAAACACTAAAATACAATAACCTATTAAACATTAAAAGCTTCCCTGAACAGGGCTGCCTTCAGATGTCTTCTAAAAGTCTGGTAGTTGTTGTTCTCTTTGACATCTGGTGGGAGGGCGTTCCACAGGGTGGGTGCCACCACCGAGAAGGCCCTCTGCCTGGTTCCCTGTAACCTCACTTCTCGCAATGAGGGAACTGCCAGAAGGCCCTCGGAGCTGAACCTCAGTGTCCGGGCAGAACGATGGGGGTGGAGACGCTCCTTCAGGTATTCTGGGCCTTTGAGGCCGTTTAGGGCTTTCAAGGTCAGCACCAACCCTTTGAATTATGCTCAGAAACTTACTGGGAGCCACAAGTTCTAAATGACAACACTTTCTCTTCTGTTGACTTGTCAGCTATGCCGAAATATAGTTCAGCTACGTGCTGCCTGAACCTTTTCCCCGCCCTGAATCTCCTAATGTTCTCACACACCGGCTGGTTAAGTGGGCAGCTGTAACTGCAGCCAGACCAGAGGAAGCGAGAATGTCGTAATCTGAAGGGTTCTGTGTTATCTGAAAGGGGGCGAAGGCTGCAGAGCCCAGAGGTGGGTGGGCAGAGTGAGTTTTCGGACTGTCCTGAGTGGGTGTGGGAAGGAGAAAAGGCCCAGCTTGTTGATTTAGGCAGCCTTCCCCCTTGTTTTGGGAGTTGAAGCAATGGCCCCAGCCCTTGTTCCACCACAAAATGAGCATCGATCCACAGGAAAAAATCGGGGGAGCCTTTTCTCATCCAGGAAAAGCCTGGTCTGCACCCCAATTTTCTGGTGGAATCAGTATTAAGTCAAGGGAACAAACAGCTCCTATCCTATCGTGTCCCGGCCACAGCCCAACCCCCCTTGCTTAACTCCAGTGGGTTTACTCAGAAGTAGGTGTGTTGTCAGCTGCAGCTTAGGAACTTGCTCCCCCAACCCCACCCCACATTTGCCAAGCGTGGGAACTTACGAGAAATTGAAAAATGCCTTCAGAGCCCTCCAGCCCCCCATCAAAGAAGTGCTTAGGAAGAGGGTGCCAACTATAGCGCACCCACAAAACTTTGGTGCCACCCGAAGCCGGGTTCTGAGGCTGTGGGGCGTATGACATCATGATCCCCATAACCTGGGGACCAAGTCGGAGCTCCTGCACTTAGGTGAGGGTCCCCCACCCCATTTATTCCAGACAGTACCTGAGTCCTATCAAACCACCCATTTCGCCACTGGCACCTCAAAAATGAAGGTGCCCAGTGGGCCAAATCCATGATAACTGTCGGGGGGTGGTTCCATTCCATGTTGTGCATTAAGAAAGTGGGGTGCCCCCAGGCTTCCCTTTTCCCAGAAGGGGCTTACAACTAGACAGTTTGCCCCCCAGGTATGTTATTAGGAAGCAAAACATGCAGTCAGGGGAAATGCCTCCCCCCCACAGGGGAGCCTCTTCTTGAAGGCACAGCAAGTTACAATCCTGACTCTTGCAGAAAAAGCCCCATTGATGTGGCCCTACTGCTGTTCGCTGTCCCTCCCCCCAAATCCAGAACTGGCCCCCCTGCCCTTCCCCACAGCCCCCCCTCCCAGAGTCAGCCGCTGTGCCTTGAACCCCCTGTTCCCGCCGCCGCTACAGGCACTTGTGAGAAGTTCGACACCAGATGGAAACAAAAACAAAGGAAACCTCTGCTTTACGGGTCGTTGTTACTTGGCTGATCTGCTCCCAGGGACGCTCTCACTGGTGGGGAACGGGTGGTACTGGTTGTACTGGTGGTGGTGGCGGTGCTCCTGGCTCTGGCAGCCTCTGGCCTCAACCCAGGCGCTTTGGAGACAAAATCAGGACAATGAGGGAAGGGATTTTGATTCAGTCGGGCTTGGGGTGAGCGGGTTGGGGAACAAACGGGTGTTCCTAGCTGACTTTAAAAACACAAAAAAGGTCTGTGCTTCCATAAGACCAATCTCTCTCTCTCTCACACGCACACACGCACAATTTCACCACTCTGCCATGGGATGATGCCTTGGGGGCATGTAAGCTCCCAATCCCCTCATATAGTTGATTGTACAGTTGGGACACCCCAAGGGTCATCCAGTCCAACCCCCCCCCCCACAATGCAGAAATCCTCACCAAAGAATCCCTCCCAGGTGGCCCTCCAACCTCTGCTTAAAAACCTCCAGGGAAGGAGAGCCCACCACCTTCCAGGGGAGACCGTTCCACTGTCAAAACGGCTCTTAATGTCTTCCAAGTTCTTCCAGATGTTGAGTCAGAATCACCTTTCTTGTAACTTGAAGCCATGGATTTGAGTCCTACAGTCCAGAGCAGGAGAAAGCAAGCTGGCTCCTTTTCCCATGTGCCATCCCTTCAGATGACCTCTCTGTGGGAATGTTCAGGGATGCAGGAGAGGATATATTCTCTGATTATAGCCTTTCCAACTTGCGTTAACAAGTTCGCATTTTAGCAGAGTAACATTCCCCTTTTTAAACTCGCAGCGGATGCGTTTGCTCAGGCTCGCTAAAGCCTCTATAATAACTATTATGGTATTTTCCCCTTATTCCCTCATAAAAGATAAGACATGACACAGTCTTCTACAAAAGTATAAAAAAGGGTTACTCACACATCATTCTGTTCACAAGAGGATCTATATCTCATAAGGAGACAGTCCCTTTGTCCTCTCTTGGCTGGAAGCCAAAAGGGCATCTTTGGCTAAGCAGATGTTGCTTCTTCGATGCATGTATGGCTGCCCTGCCCTGTGCTTTTGTCATTACCTGCACAGGTGAGGTCATGCCCACCTCTAGTCACATGCAGAGGAAGTCTGTCCCAGCCCAGGAGGAAACAGGAAGTTTACCTGCTGGTGGGACAAACATTCCTCCCCATGTGTAAACATGTTCTCTCTAGGAACGTTGTACTTGACTGCTCTTGTGTTTCACATCCCACACTCTCCATCTTCTCTTCTCCAAGTTAAACATCCCCAGCTCCTTCAACCATTCCTCACAAAGCTTGGTTTCCAGGCCTTTCGTCGTCTTGCTTGCCCTTTTCTGCGCTCCTTCCAGCTTGTCAACATCCTTCAACTGGGGTGCCCAGAACCAGACACAAGACTCCAGGTGGGGTCTGACCGAGGCAGAAGAGAGCAGCACTATGACTTCCCTTACTGACAGACACCATCCTCTCTCTGCCAGAGGAACTCAGAGAATCTCCCAAGCCTGAAGAGGAACGGTTGAGGGAGTTGGGTCTGTTTAGGCTGGAGAAGAGAAGACTAAGAGGTGATATGAGAGCCATGCTCAAACATCTGAAGGCCTTTCTCGTGGAAGATGGAGCAAGCTTGTCTCCTGCTGCTTCAGGAACCCCTGAACCAAGGGGTTCAAACTATAAGAAGGGAGATTCCAACTAAACATCAGGAAGAACTTTCTGATGGTAAGAACCGTCTGACTGTCGAAGGAACTCCCTCAGAAGATGGTGGACTCTCCTTCCTTGGAGGTTTGGCAGCAGAGAGGTTGGGGGTGCCACCTGTCATAGACCCTTCCAGCTTTACAATTCGTCGTTCTAATAGGAACTGCAGCTTCGCTGTCTCTGCAAATTGTGACCTCTGGGGCTGGCAGGGGGGTGGTGAGTGAAGAGGTCAAGGAGGAAGACACCAGGACCTCAGCAAGCAGAAGAGGGGCTGATTTTGTGGGGTTGTGGCAAGGACAGACACACACCCTGTGACCACAAGGGACACTGGAAACCCAAGCTCAGCCTTGGCTTGCAGGACCTGAGCTCTGGAAGCCCTTGACCCAGGTAAGGACTCGCACCTGAGACGCCGGGATCGCGTTTCCTCAGCAACTGATCATGAATATTCCATGCTGCGGAACTCGAGGCCCCTTCAGCTGGGAGACGAAAGAGGCCCCGGGAGAAACGAGGCCTGGAATATAAAACCAGGCGGAAACACTCGAAAGACCCATATTTTCCATCTCCCTGCAGGTGGGTCAGAGGGATCCGTTTGCTCCCGCAGCAGGAGGGGCTTCACGTGAGGGAGATCTCAAGTTCTCCCCCCCCCCCATGCTCTCATCTCCAACGCCACCAGGCAAAGAACCGCGTTCATTGCCAGGTCTTGGCCTTGGAAGGAATCATGTGACACACGGCAAGAAGGAAGAATTTCTGCTCACCTGCAAAGGGCACACAGAGGAGGGGCCTCTGTGCAGTTCTGGGCGTCAGGGGCAAAGCTGTCTGCTTTGGGAATGGGCTACTTATAGGGGCACTTGCACCCATGCAGGCCTGCCCCCACCACACCCCCAGAGAGCTGCATCACAGGCCTGCTTAAGTGCCCCCGCCAGTGAAGGAGATTCAGCGGACAGGCCAGCCACACAGCAGGGCCTTCTCAGCGATGGCCCCACAGTGACTAATAAGCTAAGCAAACGAATTCAGTTCCTGAGGAGGAGCCTGTCTACCTCTTCTCCCCTGAGCCCCACAGGGACACCTCCACCTCCACGGCTGGTCCACAGAGGCTCCTTTGTGCCGATGGGATGGAGTGAGCCCTGAGAGTGGCATCTCCACAGCTGGGAACCCCTTTGCCCCTAAGGAGACAATGGCTGCCAAAGGTGGACCTGGCCTTCCAACTGCCAGGAGGCAACACTTTTTAAAGGGGGGGGGACAGGCCCTCCAGGCAATGAATGTCCAGGCCTCTTATGAAACTCAGCCATTCTCTCTGCAGAATCTTCTGAGGGCAACTTGGCCGTTTGGCCTCCGCTGGTGGTCCTGAACCCACACAGAGATCTCCCCTCTCTTGCTGACCCTGGCCTGGACTGAGCCCTCACCCCCTCCTCAGTGGCACAACACACGGGCTTGGATTTTGACCGTCATCGACAGCTGGCACCCGTCTGTCTCGAGAGACAATGGAGTTTGCCTCCAGGGGTGAAGTCAAACGGCTGCATTAGCAGCCCTGAAATGACCTCTCTGGGGCAAAACGTGTGTCGTGCGTCTGGGGGTCCTGGGCTGCCCAGATGACAAGACCCCCCTCTCAGCCTCATTGTTGTGGTCCAAAGGAAAGCAGAGCAAGACGTTGGGCACCGATTTGGCCGCAGGAGCTGCTAGGAGGCGAACAAGGAACATTCCAACCATCACTGTGGATTTGTGCACGGTTTACTCCCTAGTCGTTTCTTCTCCCGAAGATATCCCACACGGCAGCGGAGGTTGAGGATCCGAGTTTTCCTTCTCCTACATGGGCTCCCTTCCCAGGTGGATCAGGCCCACTTGCCCCTCACTTCCCTACACAGCAGGTGCAGAAACTGCCTTCTTGACCGCTGGACCCCTTCTTGGTCTCATGGACCGAAGGTGGACAAACTACCCCCAGAATGATGTCCCTCAGCAGAGGCCTTTTCTCTCGCCTAACACCCCACACGCCCCACTTTGATTATATGTGTCTACCCACAACTATGGACCCCCTTTGTGGCACTCTGTCCTCAAAAGGCGTCTAGGAGGAGACCTGCTTTCCATGAACAAATAAGTAAATAGAGCTTCGCAGCTGGACTGGCCAAAGGGCTCCCGTCTGGCCCAGCGGCATCCTGTCCTCAGGATGGCCAACTACCCGCCCCCTCAGGGCGCTCTCCCCCCAGCGCCTTGCGATTCCTAGAAACTGCCTTGGCGCAGAGACTTTCGCTGCGTTATCTGATTCCGGCAACAGAGGGAGAAGCAGGAAACACGCAGCCTCTTCCCTGAATTTGCCTGGTCCTCTTTCGCAGCCAGCGAGGTCGCTTCCTGCCGGAGGGAGTTCCGCAGTTTATCTGAAGAAGAGCTGCCGCCTTTTGTGCGCCCTGGCTATCGGATGACCCTGTGGGGTTACGCTGCGATGGGGCAGAGATATGTGTGGGGAGGACGTGTGGGGAGAGGGGAAGCTGCGCCCCCCATACCCTTGGCGTGACCTCTGGCGCCGCGCTCCCCAACCCCCCACAATCAATCCCCATCGATCTTCACGGGGATTAATCAGGAACTGCCAAGACTGACGGGAATGGAAATTAACCAGGGGGGCCAATTAAAACGATCACCTCACCAGACTCCGCCCCCGCCCCCGATTCCCCAGCATTGAACCAGTTCCATATAAAGCAGATGGCGCGGGGGGGGGCGGGGAGGGAGCAAGGAGCTTTGCAGCAACGCAGAGAGATCCCTGATCGCCCTCCCCACCCCCCAAAGATCTGACGTGGGGGGGGGGAGAGGCAGGGGGGGTAGCAATGAGGCCCTGCTCCTCCTCCTCCTCCTCCTCCTCCTCCTCCTCCTTCATCTTTCCTGGCCGCCCTCCCTCCATCTCCCATCCCTCCCTCCCTCGCCCCCCCTCTGGGCTCCATCTGTGCCGATGACGCCCCCCCTCCCCAAGTCACATGCCCAGCCCTATAAATAGCAGGCACGAAGAAAGGAAATGTAACACCACCCCTCCCCTGGAAGTGGGGCGGCAGGGGGGGAGAGAGAAAGCGGAGCGGGAGGGGGCACCTGAGAATTCAATGGGGATCCACGCCGCCGCCGCGCATCTCTGGGCGAGCCCCCCACCCCCCACAGGACGAACCACGGGCCCCCTCCCCAGGCAAAGCCACAGGCCCCCTGCGGGGAGGGGCTTCTCTCGGAGGAGATGGGAGGCGGTGGCCGGAAATGGACCCCCTCTTATCTCTGGCCATTCCCGGGAGGGGCATTAATTGGCAGAAGAGGGGCGGGGGAGGGCATAGCCAGGAGCGGCTCCCCAAGAGATTTTGCAGTGGGGAAGTGATGGGGGCGTCGCTCACTTCGACGGGGGGGGGGACTCCCATCGGCAGCCGGGAAGAAGACAATGCCGGGAGGGTCCTGCAAGACTGGGGGTGGGGGAGAGAAATACGGAAGGAAGTCCTCGCTCAGCCCCCCTCCCTCTCAAAGATCAGGGCGGCTCCCAGGCCCCCTCCCATCTATTCTCCCCAGGCGACCCCCTTCGCGCACCTTCCCGAAAATCCTCCCTGAGACCGATTTCCGTAAAATGGGTGGCCCTATAGAAACTCATTCCCCCTCCCGGAATGAAAAAGAACGCGGAGATTCTGGGCTGGTGGAGGTGAGCTGCGCCCCCCCCCCAACCCAATCCGCAGTACCTGCTGCGCGCAAGGAGAGAAGGAGAGCCGGGCGGACGCCGGGAGCCGGGAGCCGAGGCTGGGTCGGTGGGTCTTCTCCTCCTCCTCCTCTTCTTCTTCCTCGGTCCCTTTTCGCCCAGGCTGCGCGCGGAGAAGCCTCCTCCGCCTCCCCCTATAAAGATGGAGAGAAGCCCCGCCCACCGCCGGGAAGCCCCGCCCTCTCCTGGCCTCCGGGGCGGCGGGGGGTTCATCACTCCGGCGCGGTGGGGGGGGCTCTCTCCCTCCTCTCCCGACGTCAGAGACGAGGATGGAGGAGGCGAAAGTGGGGAGAGAGGGCATTTGGGGACAAGGGCGCAGGGCGGGGGGAGGACCCAGAAAGGAGACGGTGCTCACGACCCTCTTTCCCCCCGTGCTCCCGCGCAGGCTTCGCTGGAAGGACGGCGCCCCCACCCCACCCGAATTAGCGCCGGAGACAGAAGACCCCCCCCATGGCACCTGTTATGCGCCCCCCCTCCAGAGCGCACCTGGCAGGTCGCGCAAGAGAGGAGTCCCCCAACAGCAACAAGCAGGCGCGCAGCCAGGCTCACGAGCCGCGACGGAATCGCGGGACTGTCGAGTTGGAAGGGACCCCCAGGGGTCATCCAGACCAACCCGCTGCAATGCAGGAGGGAGAGGCCGCTTTGGACTGGCCACCCAGCGAGGGCGTCGCCTTCAGAAGCTTCTCCTGAGCCAGACCTCTCAGACCCCGCAGCTGAAAACTCACTCTGTTCCCTGTCCGGTCTGGGTGCGGATTTTTTTATCGCCTCTGCTTTTTCTTTTAAATTAAAAGTGAGGTTCATTGTACAACCTTTAGGCGCCAGACGGAAAAGTTCCTCTTCTTCCAAGCCTTTGACATCCCTTTTAAATGATGGGGAGGGGTTTTGAAGGGGGGGTATTGCATTTTGTGTGGGTTTTTCATCTTGCATTCTTATGTTGTAAACCGCCCTGAGATCTGCGGAGGGAGGGCGGTATACAAATTGAATAAATTAAATTTTTCAAACCGTTAGTCTTAGACAAACTCGCGGGAGGTGCAGGACTCGAAACCCGCAGATCCGAAGGGAGCCCAGCGCCCTCCCAGGTGACTTGTAGGTTCACACGCGCGCGCGCGTTTCTGCACGCGCACCCTCCCATGCAGGACCTGCGCTGCCTCTGGGTCAGGCCAGGACTGGCGCGGTGCGTTGGCCGAAGGCATCATCCAGAAGCGCTCCCCCAGCAACTTCCAGACCAGCCTCCAGGGGCGCCCCTTTCCCGACTACCCCAGCGATCCCAAGTGGGGCAGCATGGAGGTGCCCCTTCTCCAGCCAGCACCACACGGGACCCCCGGCTGACTGGGGATTCCCAGATCTCCTTTCTGCTTCCTCTTCCACTCCTCTGCCCTCCGCTTCTGCCTTTCCTCGTCTGCTTGAGCCTGATTCCGCCTTCACCTGGCGTATCATTCCTCTACGGGCTCTTTTTTCCTCTCTTTTTTCCTGCTCTTCTTTCCTCGCTCGATGACTTTGGCCCTTTGACGTGCCGGCCCTGTGCTCTTCCTTCCTTCCTTCCCTCCCTCCCTCCCTCCCTCCCTCCCTCCTTTCCTTCCTTCCTTCCTTCCTTTCTTTCTTTCTTTCTTTCTTTCTTTCTTTCTTTCTTTCTTTCTTTCTTTCCTTTCCTTTCCTTTCCTTTCCTTTCCTTTTCTTTTCTTCCTTCCTTCCTTCCTTCCTTCCTTCCTTCGTTTCTTCCTTTTCTTCCTTCCTTCCTTTCCTTCCTTCCTTCCTTCCCGGCCACTGTCACACGGCAGGGGTTGGACTAGATGGCCCTTGCGGGTCCCTTCCCTCTCCACCTCGAGACTTGCTCTCCTTCAGAGTCTGTTCTCTACGCATCCACGTTCCCTCTCCCCTTTCTGTCCCGTCCGCCCCGTCCGCGAGCAGGTGCCTCTTCCGGGAAGCCGCTGAGCAGGACCTCGTCCTCTTCTTTATCTACTCAGTGAAAGCAGATTTTAGCGTGGATAAAAAGATTGTTTATAAATATGCAACATTTAATAACGATATAAAAGTATGGAATTAATAAAGACATCCACACAGAACATTCATAGGGGAATCACAGCTATATTATAATCCTACCCTATATTCAAAGTTCTTTCGAGCTCTTTTGGATGCAGACTTATCAGTTATTTAATTAAATTCAGTTTATCCTTTTCTATGCAGAGAAGGCTTAGATCAGAAAACTGATCTTGATGAGGCCGCAGATCATTTTTTTATGCTTTTTTAGTCTGCTACAAAACTGTCTGACACCAACACACGGGAACAGTATGTCAATTCCACATTTGGAAACGCCACCCGAATTTTCTCCAGGAATATTACAGTATTGGATACACCTCTTGGTAGCTGAAATTTTCTTTCTCAAGGTGAGCTTGTTTGACCTGCAGGCGGAAGTGCAAAAGTTCATCGGCTAGACTAAGGTCAACAGCCTTTGGATATTCTTGCTTTAACATCTTGACGCCATTGTGAATCCGATCCTTGGTTGCTCGCAGGTTCACCAAAAATGAAAAATTGCCAGCTTCACTCCTACACACCGTTGCACTTCTGTCTCGGTTGGATACAAGAGCATCCATGACAGAGATAAATGAATTTACCCTAAACTTGCCTCTTGCTGAAAGTTCGTCTGAGGCTTCAAAGCTTGTCTCAGCTTTCTTTTGGTTTTTTTTTCGTACTCTCTGCCTTCTTTTGACAGTTTCGTATTCTATATCCGGTAGAGTAAATGTCGCTTGCTGTTCAACTTCATCAAACTTAGCCTGACTGATACGAACTGCAAGAGTGAGCTGTAAATATTTGCACATGCGCTCCGTGAAATTTGCAAAATTTGCAAAAAGGGCCTTGCTAACTTTATGAAATCTGAAGCATGGAAATGAATTCAAATTCTTCCATTTTTTTACAGAAGATTTTCCGCCTGCCATCACATTTGATCACAGTAAATACGCTTGAGGGCTTCAACAATAACAGAACCATACAATTGCAGAGTTGGCTTGAACCTCCCATTTTGTGTCTGATTAAATGTTTAGGAACTTCTAACTCAACAAGCAAATTTTTCCCCCCAGCTGAGAAAAAACACAATAAAGCTCATGTATTGTTGCAAATCAATCAATCAATCAATCAATCAATCACTGCATCCAGGCATGGGTCAACTGCGGTTCGTCCAACTAGATTTAGGGGGATTGTCCAGAACATGGAATAACCTTTGCAAACTTGTTCCTTCCCAGTTTTTTGTTGTTGAATGCCCTCATGTTTTCCAATCAAAATATTGTACTCTACATTTACTGAAATCTATTTCAAGTTCACTGATGTAGTATTAGCTGCTCAGCGGTACTTTCACTGGTGTGATCTTTTAGCTCGATGAAACTCAGAAAGCATTCAACTGGTAATCCATCATCACGAGGAGAAACAGATCTAACAATGTCAGGAAATTGATCGATATTGGATACATATCAGGGGTTGAATCGACTGATAAACTGAAACAGTCTGCCTGTCGGATACCTCCCTCTGAAAGGATGGTTTTGCCTTGGTCAGACGACCCAAACTGGAGTCCTGTGTCCAGTTCTGGGTACCACATTTTAAGAAGGATATTGACAAGCTGGGAGGGGGGCAAGCAAGGTGACCCAGGGTCTGTGAACCAAGCCTGATGAGGAACGGTTGAAGGAGCTAGGGATGTTTAGCCTGGGGAAGAGGAGACTGAAAGGAGAGATAAGAGCCATCTTCAGATATCTAAAGGGCTGCCCCATAGAAGAGGGCGCAAACTTGGTTTTTCCCTGCTGGGGAAGGACCAGAACCAATGGAGTCAAAGTACAAGGAATGAGACGTGAGAGCTGTTCGACGGTGGAACAGACTGCCACGAGAGGCGCTGGACTCTCCTTCCTTGGAGGCTGGATGGCCACCTGTCATGTATGATCTAGTCGAGATTCCTGCATGGAAGGGGGTTGGACTAGATGACCCTAGGGGTCCCTTCCAACTCCGCAGTTCTCTTCTTCTCTCTGCCTCCTGCCGCCTCAAGGAAGGCGAGTCCAGCTCCGGAGGAGGAGGAGGAGGAGGAGAGAGGCTGGGCAGCCTCCGGAAGAGAAGCGCCGCCGCCGCCGCCGCCTTGCAAGGGCCTGCCCGGAGCGCCTGGCACGGCCGACCTCGTGGCGCAACGGTAGCGCGTCTGACTCCAGATCAGAAGGCTGCGTGTTCGAATCACGTCGGGGTCAAGAGCAGCGGGCGCCCAGCGGGGGCTCCTTTTGCGCGGCCGGAGGGGGGGACACACGGCCGAGGCGCTGCTCCTTTTCAGCCCGGAAGCGCGTGCGCTGCCTGCCTCGAAGCCTTTGCGCGCGAGAGGAGGACGTCTCTGCACATGGTCAGAGGCGCTCCTTCTCCTCTGCTAGGAGCTGAGAAGGAAACGCAAGGGTTCGGCGTCCTTCGCAACTGCCTCGGAGCCTATGCATGGAAAGGAAGCACTCTGCACATGGTCAGAGGCGCTCCTTCTCTTCTCGAAGCCTATACATGGAAAGGGAACACTCTGCACATGTCCAGATTTCTCTCGCTCTCTCCTTTGCAACCTTGCAACCAAGTGGCAACCTTGCGGAGCTGAGAAGGAACAGAACCGCAAGAGATCTTCTACCCCACAGCTTCCTTCGGGGCTTGGACTCCCAGACCCCGCCCTGCGTGTGCTGTGCCCCCCCCCCCCAGTTGGAGGATGGCAACCGACTGGATGTTGGGTGCTGGCAGCCGGCGCGCCCCCCACCCCCGCGCCCTGTGGGTGGCCCCTTAACCAACCCTTGGCAGGCGATGGCAAGCAGGTCATTAGCGGGGGGGGGGGGGCAAGAGCAGCCAGGAACATTCCTCTCCTCCCCCCCCTCACCCCCCTGCGCGCACACAAAGCATCCCTCCACGCCAAGCGCCCCATTGCATCACCCCGTGTGGCCTGGCACGGGTCCTCCCGCTCGTTAAAATGATGCAACGGAGTGGAAGGAGGACGGGGGTGGGGGGCTGGCAAGGGTGGGGGGTTGGGGTGCGCGGGAGTGGGGGGGTGGAGAGGGGAGGAAGGGGACGTCAATTA